GGCAATTCAGATTCAGCTCTAAATAATTCAAATTCAGTTTCTACTGACACAAATATCAGCCCATACCATAAACTCATTATGAAACTGTGAGAAGTCAGCTCATTTCTCTCTAAGACTGCATGGTGTCACTTTTTGCAGCAGCCAATGACGCTCCCCCTACTGGCCATTACATAGAATGCAGGTTTAAGACACTTCTACATTGGCTTCAGTTTACAAACCTGGAAACTCTGTCCATTATATATACTGTCAACGGGGGGAAATTCCATTTCCAGAGTAATACTCAAGAGATTTGAGAATCCCCAGATTTTGAAAATCTCTTCAGTCTTTTTTATAGGGGGGAATCGCTTTGTTTCTAAAGCTTGTTCATGAAACAAATATAATTTATTGTTCTTGAATGCGCCACAAATCACCTTCATTTCACAGTCTTAAGCTGTTACGCCCCTTACCCTCTCTTGTATACAAACGGCACTAACACTAACAGAGATATTACAGACAGCAGATTTAGTGAAACCGAGATGTGGGAAACTCCTGGCAGGTTTTCTTCAACAAAGCCTGAGTTTCTCTCTGCCTCGTCTTCCTCTAACAGAGCCAGAAAGGCTGTTTTGTTCCTCATTGTTTCAGTCCGTATCATTAGCGGAGGTTTACTGTCAGAATCAAAATCCTGGTTGGATATTACTTTGTAAGACATGTCTGACAAGTCAGACATGATTTTCAAAGGACAACAAAAACAACGCCTATCAGAACAGAAACTGAGAAGTCAGTGGGAGGTCGGGGTTCAAAGGAGCATTATATTTGAAACAGATGCAGGACAAAGACTTGCTAGCAGTCAGTGCATTTGTATGGTGCATGCCTGATTACTACTCATTTTCAGAGAAATTACTGCGACGTCTGAACTCTGTGGGAGGCAATCGGTGCATTAACAACCATGAGCTGACTTTTATAACGGCTCTAACACCTCCATCTCTCGCCTCTCGACACAGCTCACGTCCTCCGTGTCTGTGTGGATTCATTGTTCATATTTCCACATGGATAGTGAGGGCTTCAGCCCAACAATGGCGACATGGCCACTGAGGTTGAAAGAGGCCGTGCTGATGTGAGCTCTGGGTGCTTCTGCTTGGGAGACACATTCCTTCACGACCATGAGCTCGCAATTATATTCATGCAAAAAAAAAAAAATAAGTTGACAAAGGAAGCTAATTAGTTCCACCTTAATGCAACTGCAGAGGAGCACAAGGAGCATCTTTATTGTCACTGTAAAAGAGAAGCACAGGAACACAGAGATATTACACAGCACTTTAATATAATCAAATATTCTTAAAAGCCTCTACTCGGCCTCTGAGGACCACTGCTCATACGAGGCACTCAGAGATAATACATGACAGGTCTGAATTCATCATAGCGACTTCTGTTTTTCCATTTGTCCAAGCACATTTCTGTTCACTTGCTGTCCTCTTGGATGTCAAACTGTCTGTTGACTTTGGTGGATTCCAGCATAAGTTCGTACAGTTGGCCGATCTGTTCCTCTTGGAAGTTGCTAAGGGTCATCTCTGACAGGTCGGCCCCAAACTTGACTGAGCCAAGTCGCTCCCCTGCTGACTCTAGTACCTGAGTCTGCAGGGTGGCCTTGTAGTTCTGGGGAGACACACAGACGTGGACCACTTTAAGCACAAGACAAGAATAGCAGCAGGGTTTAGCACCTGGTCTTCCACCTCATCTCCACTTTCAGATTCATTAAACACTTCACACAGTGCGACTTGTGCAGCATATGGTTCAAGATGGACATGCAATGAAATATCACAACAAAAGTGCAAGTGAGAGTTTAGTCAACTTTCATTAAAGGGTAAGTCTGTGATATTCTACTTCTGTGGAAAAAAAATCTCACATGCAGAGTAAGGCCATTTATTGGCAAGAAACTGCTAAAGATAGATAGATAGATATGATAGATAGATAGATAGATAAGATAGAATAGATAGATAGATTGAATGCAACACATTACAATACTGATAAGCAAGGCAGTAAATCACCTGGGTAAATAGCTAAATGAACTGTACTTATAAATGCACCTTTCTAGTCTTCTGACCACTCAAAGCACTGTACTATACATGTCACATTCACCATTCACACACATTTCTACACTGATGGCAGAGGCTGCCATGCAAGGTGCCAACTACTCATCACAAATGGAGACTAATTCATTTATACACACTCATCGGTATCAGTATCTTGCTCAAGGACACTTCGACATGCAGCAGGAAGGGGCCAGGGATCAAATCGCCAACCTTTTGATTAAAGGACAACGTATACATTGGTATAGGTATATAATAGGGGATATAATGCAGAAAAAAATTATTGTGGTACTATACTGATATATCACAGGCGAGAAAGATAGTTGATCTTTAATCTTCCAATTCAAAGCATCTTTCTATCTTTCTTGTGTCTGATTGGTTGTTTTTGTTCAGGCCAGGTGGATTCTTTCAAATGCCTTTTAAAGCAGTGGGAGGAGCCAAGTTTCTTCTTTCTTCTCCAAGTTGTTGAAGTTTCAGCAACAATGACAAAAAAGTTATTTTTATAAAAGTTACCTACTGCAGCTTTAAAATGATGCAAAATGATCAGTCCCACTAATGGTGAATAATATCACAATATCTGTCAAAATAATTGCAATATGACGTTTTTACCATTTCGTGCAGCACTGCTTAACTTCAGTAGTTTGGAGGAATAAAATATAGGACCCAATAATGTCTGGCTTACACTGAACCTCAGTGGCAAGCCTTTAGTATCACTTTTTCCTTAAAGATAATCAGGCGGATAAAATAAAAGTGACAGTTGCTGATGACTGAAGTAGCTCTTTGATAGGGATGGGGATCGAAACCCGG